TAGGATTACTGTTTCCTCTTTAGGCTGTTGCTTAAAGTAACCAGCCTCCAATTCTCTGGACAAGATGCAGAATGGCTTTGCAGGAAGATTTTCAATTGCTCTTCAGGAGTGATACTGAACATCACCAAGGACACATCCATGGTCAGTTAGTGGCAAATCTTTAAGATGTTCAATTGTTCAATGTGCAATCATCACTGAAAGTGTAACAATCACAAGAACAACAACAAATTACATTTGTGTAGCTCCTTTACACGTCAGGAGGACATCCTAAAGTGCTGAACAATCATGTTTGCATAAGGCTCTTTAAATTATGGCTCTCATGGCCCCATTGAAGACAAATAGGAGAAGATTGTGTTTGCAAGTGTACATAATACTAGCTTTAGAGATCTCAGCTTTGGAGAAAGTCTTACATGGCTGGACTTGTTTTTGTCAGAAAGGAGAAGATCGAAAGGAGACAAGTCACAGGTCTTTAATATGCTGAGAATCTAAGCCACTGGAGGCTATCGGAAATTATTTCTCCATGGGAGAGTGGATATTGGAAACAAACCAATTGATGTTATGTCAATTAACTGCTTCTAACAAAAGTGAGTGAAATGTTTAATTGGGAACAAGATTAAAAGCTTTGGAGTATAGACTTCTCACTGCACTCCCAAGATCTTCCCAATACAGACTGCAGACTATTCAGAACCTCCCTCTTCCGCATTGGCTCCTTGAGGTAATAACCCTCATCCTTGCTCGGCTCCACTGGCTCCCTAAATCCCATTGGATCGAGTTCAAGCTCCATGTTCTTGCCTTCAAATTTCTCCACATTCTCTCCCCATCCTATATATCCTTCAAATGCTACCAACCTGGCTCCTCCCTTTGTTCAGTGAATACCAGCCTGCTTCATGTTCTCCACCCTGACCACCCCGCCATCGGCAGGCAAGCTTTCAGCCATTATGCCCTTGCTCGCTGGAACTCCCTCCAAATCACTCCCTTCCACCTAGTTGAAGGCCAATGTGAAGACATAGCTCCTTGACTGCACTTTCGGTCATCTTGCTCCTCTCCACCCCCTTCAGCTTCCATCCCTAACTCCGGTGTCCAGCCAGCAGCGTCAAGTGCTTTGAGATATATTTTCAACCTGAACAAACTATGAATTATATTGTAGAGATTGTGGTAATGTAAATTCTCCAGGATGGTTCTTATGCTCCTTGGACAGTGGTGGGGGTGGAAGGTTGTGTTGACTTTGAAGCGCAGCAAAGTATAGATGAAGTGGAGGATGGATTAGTATTGTGGAGTTTTTTTCCTTTGGATTTCCCCATAGCTTTTCCTCAGAAAGAGTCCATGATAAATTCCTCCTGAAAATGTAGATCTGCTCACTTTCATACTCCTCTTCTGCCTTTGGACAGATTGACAGATGTGGTCCTTCCCAGCAAGAACAATCCTAACAACTATTCCAGGGGAATCCTTCCACATCTCCAGCTCAGGCAGAGATTATCTGTATTTGCATCCTTGTCCCTTGGAGAGTCTACATTATTTCTGTGCAGATACAATGCAGTCAGCGCAGATGATTGCATGGAGTCTAATTGGCCAAATGGGTTGGTTTCTCAACCATGGACGAAAAGGATTTCCATCTTAGCATTGAATTGATATTAACAAATGATGGAATATTTTTTTCCTGCCTGATGGTGAACAAGGGAAGAATTTACCATCACTGGGATGATTCTCCCATGAAAATGGGATCATGAACTTCTAAAATTAGCACTAGTTATCACGCAATGGAAGCTTGTTGTATGTAGCTCAACAAAGGCTGTAGTGTGCTACAAGACTGTAACAAATTGTTGGAGATGGCGTCATTAACTGCAAGAGTAAAGCTTGAGTGGTTTATCAATGTCATCTCAACCCTTGGGCAGAATACTGCATTGGGACAGATTCCAGAATGTGTTATTCTTTTTACTGTGCAATGATTTCTTATCCTTTCCTACACTTGTTTCCCAGCTAGTTGGGGCATTAGTGATGGTTGGTTATCTCTGACTTTTTATCTCATCATTGGTCCAGAAGTAATTTTGAGATTCATTTTAATGGCTAAAACAATAGATTTTATATATAGATTATAAAATATATCATACTGTATAAAGTCCTATAGATTTTATAGATCATACTATATACGATTAACACTGCACTTGGGAGTGGTTAACAAAAATCTCAATCGCTGGATGTCCATTAAAGGGTCAGAGTGTAATCCAATAATTGCCTGTTTTGTGCTTGACTTGAAGAAAGGAGATTTGCCATGGTCAAACATGCTGATTACCTGTCTGCCTGTTCAGGTGGACGTTAAAGATCCCATGGCACTATTTGAAAAGAAAACAGAGTTTCTCCCAGGATTCTGACCAACAATCTCCCAAATAAAATTGATCAATCGCTTCATGGCTGTATGTGAGACATTGCTGTTTGCAAATTAGCTGTGGATACCTACAGATACGCAGCTACTATACTTCGCAGTAAAATCGTATGAAGCACTTGGAGGTATCTCGACAATGTGAGAAGGGGTGATAAGGTGATTACACAAGGATTATTATAAGATCGTTATAAACTTTGAAGCTGTTTTCCTGTAGTACCACAAGAATTATTATCATTTTCCTTTGGAGTTGACATAGATTTTTCAGCTCGTCTTGTTTGGCAGCGCTTTTGTTTCTGGCTCATAATGTGGTGGGATCAAGTCCCAGATCTGGCCTTGAACTTATTGTTTATTTGACACTCCAGGGCATTAATGGGTGGGGAGGGTTCACTATTAATGGTTACTTGGGTGAGAGATTAAGCTGAAGCCCCACCAGCCTCTCCTGATGGGAAATTTGAAGATAATAGACACTATTTGAACAAAAAATGCCATTTCTCTTGGTGTATTTTCACTTGTTGTTTGTGGAATATTGCTGAGTACAAAATTGACTGCTATATTTGCCTATCAACACACAGTCACTTCACTTCTTGGCAATTACCTTTGAAGTGCTTTGAGACATTTTGATGTTATAAGCAGTATATCAAATAGAAGGATTATTTTGAATATAGTTCGGACTGATGTGATGAAATTCCTCTCTCCACTGACTTTAAGAATACAATCTGAACTGAAATCTCACTTAAACACAAGTGGTGATTGGTGCAGTAGGTGTTTCTCATATTGTGCCAGGGAGTTTAATTCTACATTGAATTATGCACTGACCTGGGAGCTCTTTATACTGTCACTGAGTCCCAGAATTAATTTCCCTCACCTGTACCACAAAAAAATAGTGCTGCATTCTCTGGAATAAATACTAAATGAAATAGAATGAGCTATTTTTCACATTTCTGTATTAACAACCTTAAACATTGTCCTTTTGTTTCTTGTGTGTAAAAGTCTCAATTTGGTTCTGAAATCAAAAAAAAAATATTAAATATTGGAAATTAAATATTGGAATTTATTTCCTAGAAGGCATGCGATTAAATAAGTATATTTATTCAGTTTTGTGCAAATATTGTATGCAGCAAAGATGTTTAATACCATTTTGTCAAGTATTGCCTTAGTTTCAGCTAAATACTGGATCATTAATGTGATCACATGGTTGACAAAGTCCTCTTCGAACTGAAGATTACTGGGTTTGTACAGTATGTTGGACTATAATCGTACTATTTATGACATGGCAATTGAGTTTAAAATTAATCTAAATAAATAATGAAACCATTATGCAAATGTTATTTTTAGAAAAGGACGTAATGACAATACAGAAAGTTTCTAAGACAGAAAGTTTATATTTTTGCTCCTTTTCGGTTCTTTTTTGTGGAACCGTTTCCGCATAAGATTAAAAAACTTTTGCTGCTGAAATGTAAATGTCACCTCTTCACGGAGCGATTATAGCGACAGCTGGTAAACTGCCTGGCTAAATCCCTCTGCTCTTTCTCTCTCTCCATCCCTATCTTTAAAATTATTATTTTTATTACTCTGAAATCCAATCTGTCGAATCACCTTAAAACTCCCCCTCCCCTTTGTGTTTCCATCTTATAATAATAACCCTTGCATTCGATATAGCGCCTTATCACGTCTTCGAGACGTCTCAAAGCGCTTCACGGAATATGCTGCAAAATAAATTGACTGTACATTTTGTGGGCGAAACGCGGCAGCCAATGGCTCACAGCGGCGTCCCACAAACAGTCGTGGATTGAGTGACCAAATTATTATTATTTATTTTTGAAGGAATTATTGCTCAGCTTCCCCACACTATCCCTTATGTGTGAAGTACTTCGCAAGTACGTTCGCCCACAAATATACAGTCAAATTCACTTTACAGTGTATTCTGTGAAGCGCTTTGGGACGTCCTCCCGACGTGAAAAGCGCTATATGAAATTCAAGGATTATTATTATTATTATTACTTTGAGAGGTTCTCCCACTTGAAAAATTGCATATAAATGCAAATTGTTGTTGCTGTAGGTGAGCACACGTGACAACAGGCTTAAAGCATTGGGCGTTGGGGGCTGTGACAGTCTCCTCTGGGAGTTGTAGTCACCTCGCCGTCGGGTGACGACACGGCAGCCGCACGGGCGAACTGCAACTCCCGGCATGCTTTGCGGCGCTCTCCTCCCCAACCGAACTTCAGCGGCGAGAGAGAAAAAAAATAGCTCCCGCCTCCTGGGCGTCAGAACCAATCAGAAGCGGCCGTGGCGGACGGACGCGATTGCGATTGGTGACGGCCGAACGTCAATCGGAGCGGCGGGCGAGGTGAGGTTAGGTTACGCGTCGAGCGGCCATGTTGACGCACAGTGGCGCCAGAGCGAGAGACGGCGAGGGACGTTCGCCCGAGCGATAATAATAATAATATTCATAATAATAGGGAGGAATGGCTTCAAGAGCGGCGAGAGGACGAGTCGCCGGTGCCGCCTGAGCGGGTTGAGGTGGAGGAGAAGCTCGAGAGCTGCCGGTTGTTTGATTTGTACCGAGCACAAGGCGGACGGGGCCGTTATTTTGAATGCGTTGTGGGTTCGCCCGGTCGCCATGAGCCGGCCCTCGTCAGCCGGCGGCGGCGGCGGTGGCGGAGGAGGCGGGGGCGGCGGCGGCGGAGGAGGCGGCGGCGGCGGCGGCAAAGCGGGCAAACACACCACCACGGCGGCCGCGGTGGCGGCGGCGGCGGCGGCCGCGGCGGCGGGAGGCAACCCCGGGGCGGCCGCGGCGGCGGCGGCGGCCGCGGCGGCGGCGGGAGGAGCCACCCCGCCTCAGCCCGAACTGACTTCCCTCTTCGAGTGCCCCGTCTGCTTCGACTATGTGCTGCCGCCCATCCTGCAGTGCCAGGCCGGGCACCTGGTCTGCAACCAGTGCCGCCAGAAACTGTCCTGCTGCCCGACCTGCCGGGGCCCGCTCACCCCGAGCATCAGGAACCTGGCCATGGAGAAGGTGGCTTCCACCATCCCCTTCCCCTGCAAGGTGAGTCCAGAGAGCAGCCCCCCCCCCCCACACACACACACAGGCCAGCAGCAGAGAGAGAGGAGAGGAGAGAGAGAGCTGACAAAATGACTTGGAAAATGTTCATTGCCACTCACACCATTCCTAAATACGCGAGTTGTGCTTGTGCGGGACTTGGGTTGTATTGCAGGGTTTCTCCTCTTCCCTCCCCCCACCCACCACTCCACCTCCTGCTGCTTTCGAACTTGTTTTAAGGGAGAGAGTGGTAAAGAAAGAGAGCACCCTGAGTGGGTGGGGTGGTGGTGCTGGTTGGTTGGTGGAGGTGAGGTCGAGTTGCATTGGTGAGACGCCGAAAGGAAGTGGGTCCTGTTTACTCGCAGTCGCATGCAGTTCACAAAGTGCAATCCTCTTCGCCTCCCGGAGTGCATCGGAAGTTGGACATGTTTATATTTTTTAAAAAACACACACACACACACACACACGCGCGCGCGCAAAAAAAATTCAACCCGACTATGCAGCCCAACTTTGGCCTAATCGAGCTTTTCAGTCAGTCCGACAAACAGTCGGATCTGTGGTCAATTTGAGGATTTGGGGGAATAACTGTGGTTGGGAGTTAGTTGGGTCTTCTTTCCTGATGCTTCTGTACCCTACACAGAAACAGCGTGGTCCAGTATTGATGGCGGGTAAATAATATAACGGATGGAACTGGAAACAGTTGGGTGGGTGGGGGGGGTTCTCTCCGAAATGAATTGTGCACCTGCAGTACTTTGGAATCGGTCATATTTTTGGTGATTTCTGTATTTAGGCGCTGCGAGGCGCTTCCCTGCGTGAAGGGCAGTCGTCGTCGTCGCAGTCATAAATGCAAGTCGTGGTTGGGGGTTTATACATCAAACTGAGAATCTTGAGGTTTTAATGGCAGACAATCAAACGTTTTCTGTTTTTGTTATCTAATTTTTGTTGCTGGTATTTTGTCCTCTTCCTTGAAGGTGGAAGAGGTGTCGAGGACATTGTTTTGAGTTCAAGTGACTTCAGTTCTGAATTGTTGTGATACTTACAGATTGTACTTTGCTGAATTTCTGAGCAGCAGCAAATGTGGTATTTTCTGCACTAACGTGTTCAGGTTAGCAATGAATTTTTACTATTGTGTATGTTGCCAACAATATTTCAGCCCAAGTTATTGGAAGCATTAATGCTTTTATTTTGGTGGAAGTTACCAATGACATTCTCTGGGGTTCTCTCTACCTACTCGTTCATGATCTCTGACGTCTTCAACACTGTCGATCATGCTTTCCTTCTCCACTATCTCGCCTCTCAGCTCCACCTTCATGGCTCTTCTGGTTACCTATCCCGATGTTCTTCTCCTGCTTCTCCCACACTGTCACATGCGGCATTCCTCAGTGCAGTAACCTTGGTCTCCTTTTAACTATCTACGTGCTACCGGTCAGAGTTGTCAGCTGCAGACATGGGGTAACTCGCATGTATGCGGATGACATCCAACTCTTATCTCTCTGCCTCCACCTTCGATTCCAGGACCACTGCTGTCCTGACCAATTTTCTGTCGGACACCAAATCTCAGATGAGCTCTGATTTAGTCATCTTGGAGGATCTTCTGCTTGGCTTCCATTAGTGTCTTCTCATCGCAAACTCTGACAGCATCAAACTATTCGGATGCGCATTCCACCTCGGGGAGCCTCTGTGGAACCTTGGTGTCTTCTTCAACTTTCAACTGTCCTGCTCTGACCCTCTCAGCTTTCCCCCTCCTCTGTAACATTGTCTGTCTCCATCATTACTTCTCCACTTGGGCCGCTGAGCCTGTCCAGCGCCATGGGACATACTCTCAATATGAAAGGCACTATATTAAATATAAATTGATATTATATTTTAACATTCTTCAATTATCTTGGAGATTGACTTTCTTGATTCATTTTCTGCCTGCAGTTCCCAGGAAGTTTTAGAGACTATTCCACCTTGCAAGGTGCTATGCCATATTTGTATACAGAGACCTATGCGGTGATGTGATCAGTGATGTTTACCGGTCACCATTGTACCAACACTATATTTATCCTCAGTGTAAATATCTTCTGCTGGAAAGTGTCCGGTCTTAAATTCTGTCTAACCTAGGTGGTTTGCACCTATCTTAATAATTTATTATTTTATAAAATACAGCATAGGTTTTATAATACATTATTCGAGATTTATAAAAAGCATTCTACTGAGTGCAATGTTGTAACAAAACTGCGCTTTTTTATTAATCTGAGGTAAAGTGATGATGCGTTAAATAATTTTTAAGGATTTGATTTTTCAGAAAGGATAAATCTGCAGTAAAGGATTTACTGCACCTTGATTCCATATTGGTTTTTCAACAAAAATTCAGGAACTTATTGCAGTTTTTAGTGAACAGGGATAGTGTAACCTTTGTCCTCAAGTACAGTGGTGCCTGATGTTCCTTTTTGTTGAATATTTATTTTTAATAAAAATTTGGGGGGTGTTGAACAATCAGGGATGTTGCTTCCACAACTAGTGTTGCCACCTCAACCAGTTAATTTACCACGAACCGGAGTTCAAACTGTAGCCTGTTGGTATTTATGGCCAAGTGCTGTCCTAGTTGGTGCTTTTTCATCTTTGGAAAATCGGAGAAGCTATAGTAATGTTCTGTCATCTTGTTGGAAATCTGAAACTGCATCGTAGCATACATAGCCTATTGCCCAATAGTCACTTGATTAAATTGTGCATACAGTATTTGCTTTGGGTATGAGCCAGGCTTTGAATGTCTTTCTAATGCAAGTGCAGAACACTAAAAGTAGCAATGGTTATGCAAGCTGTAACCTATTTCATCTCAATTCTGTTTAACATGTACTGATTGAGTATTCGTTCAAGGTCATCACACTACTTGTAGTTGTAGTGACTACTCCTAAAGGGAAGAACCTCTTTACTATGCTGGGTAGAGAAAGTCTCCATTTTATTTTCATGGTGGTTTCAAGCAACACATAAATGAATGCTGACTGCTGAGCTCAAATGTTACCGATTTTAAATGAGTGCAATAGGTTACAAATTCTAATTAGTGGAAAGAATTTACTGAAGAATAAGAACCTTACTTGAGTACTGTTGCATTGACTGAGTTCTATTTATTCAGTCAAAATATTAATGGCTCTTCAAAAGTTGGACAGTATTTTACTGCTGTTATAGTAACTGAAAATAAATGGATGAATAACTGCAGACACATGTTTGGAAGCTAGGAAGTCTTTAGAGTGTGAATCTCCACCTACCCATTACTAAGTTATTGATTTTTTTTGTCAACTTGAGTGGGCAGCTCAGTGTTTTATCTAAAATTAAGATCATTGGCATTGCTTCTTGTTTGTAAATGTTTACTGAAATTGAGTACCATCTTAAACTCAATTTTCCCACTGGATCCAGGCTACAATATCAACAAGCAGTTGTACTGTACATTCATTCAGTTTTCTCTTGGCGCAGGCACTGCAGTTTAGACAAGCCTGAAGCCTTCAAAAGTTGGATCTCATTCACAATATAGGCACCGTTATGAATAGAGATGTAGATGGGGGGCTACCAGTGGAACTGTACCTCTTAATAGTGAAAATTGGGGAAAAGTTCAATTATTTGTACACATGTCTATAAATGTATCTAGAGAGAGAGATTCCCTTTAATTGGGTACTGGTATTTCTGGCCTCGCACAGATTGAAAACATAGGTTAATAACTCCAACCACCAGGGATTTTTAAGTTCTTATTGCTTATTTTATGGTTTTGTTGGAACTGTTTTGTGCTGAATGTCTCATTATGCTCTTGCAAACTGCTTTTTGAGGGAAAATAGTTTTAATGTTTGGCACCAATACGTAGATGTAAAATAATAACAAGTTACTGGGAACATGCAGCACGCAAGAGGGAGAGGTTGGAGGCAAGGCTGAGAGAAGATGTGAGCTGTGTTTAATGTCTGAAGTGGTTAAAATCAAAAACAGAAGTCGCTTGGAATACTCAGCAGAAAAGTGAGTGTTCCCAGCGGCTTCTGCTTTTTTTTCAGATTTCCAGCATATGTGGTGTTTTGCGTGTTGGTTAAAATCAATGTTGAGGCCAGAGGTCTGTAAGGTACCTAGGAGGTAGATAAAGTGCTGTTGTTCGAGCTCATGTTCGAATAGCATAGGAGCCCATGGACAGAGAAGTCAGAGTGGGAATGGGATTGGAAGTGGTGAGGGATTGGAAGCTCAGGGTTGCACTTGTGGAAGGAACAGAGGGCGTTTGTCAAAGCGATCACCCAATCTGCGTTTGGCTTCCCTGATGTAGAGGAGACTACAGCGTGAGCAGTCGATAAAATATACTACATTGGTGGAAGTTCATGTAAATCACTGTCTTACTCGGAAGCAGTGTTTGGGGCCCTGGGCAGTGGTATCGGAGGAGGTGAATGGGCAGGTGTGGAATCTCCTGCACTGGCATGGGAAGGTGCCGGAGGAGGGAGAGCAGGTGCTGGTGGTGATGGAGGAGTGGACCAGAGAGTCACTGAGAGAGCAGTGCGTTTGGAATGCTGAGAGGGAAGGGGATGGAAAAATGTGTTTAGTGGTGGGATCACGCTATAGTAGCGGAAATGGCGGTGGGTTATCTGTTGAACGTGGAGGCTGATGGGATGGCAGATGAGGACTAGGGTAACCCTATCACAGTTCTGGGACTTTTACTTAGATGTAAAAGTTTGATCATGTTGAGGTATGCAGCAGTTTCTATTGTCCATTACAGATTGTAACTTCTGTAGTATACAATATTGCATTTCCAGAGGTTGTCAAACTAAGAAAAATATAATAATCCTTGCGTTTGATATAGCGCTTTTAACGTCGGGAGGACGTCCCAAAGCGCTTCACAGAACACACTGTAAAGTGAATTGACTGTATATTTGTGGGCGAACGCGGCAGCCAATTGCGCACAACAATGTCCCACAAACAGTCATGGATTGAAAATGACCAATTTATTATTGTTTTTTTTGGAGGGATTATTATTAGGCTCTGTGTGGAGTAAGGAAACT